GAGGCCCAAAGCAGGCGGCCAGAGGCTCACCTCGTTCCAGCTGGGCTCTGTTGCATCCCGGTACACCCGCGTCTTAGCCTTGTTCACGAAGTAGCCGAAGGAGTCCACTTCCAAGGTGCAGTAAAGATCTGCACGGAAGGTTCTTGCGTTAGACCCCACCAGCAAAGGTGGGGGACAATTCAAGGGTATCAAGGGGTACAACTTCACAGAAGTTTCCGGCACATGCTGTCCTCCAGCTGGTGAGGTGACCCCACCGCTGATGTTCCAGAAGCCGGCTGAAAATCAGGCCAGTGTGGATCTCAGTGACCCAGAAGCCACCCTCAAAATACGGGCAAAGTAGGCGACTATCCTGGCGAGCTTCTCAAGCGACAAGGCAGAAGGAGCGGAGAGCGTCCGACTGAACCTGAACAGTCCTGTGGCTGTAACTCCAAGAGCGGCGAGCTGCCTTAAGCACCATGTGATCGAATAAGGAAGACTAACAAGGGTGGATAGCAGACTACTAACTACTAACCGAGAGATAGTAAGAATTAACCAAGGCTAACTAACCCCATCCTGAGCAACTTGGTGCCCCTGGGACATCAGAGTGGTTACACTTTTCTTGGTAAACCTGTCCTTCAAGTAACCTCCAATGCCCCCGCCCCCACTTTCCTCCATGAGCTGGAGTAACATGGCGGGCTCTGTTAATCCACCCCCCACCCACGTCAGCTGTATTCCAACAGCTGTTGCATTGGGGAATTCCTGCTGTCTTCCTAGAGACAGATGGTGAGAATGGCCAGAATAAGTTGGGGGGGGGAGGCAGGAGGAGTAACCATGAACAAGACAGGATAAACACGCAAAACCAGGAACGGCGACTTACTCAGGCTCTGTTTGAGCCCCGAGGCAGAGTGGACGATGACATTCAGGAAGCCGCACAGGCCTGAAGGCTCATCATCTAAGGAAAAGTAACAGAGAAGCTGAACATTAAACCAGTCAGTTACTGGAACAAGCAACTTCCCAGCTGGCTTTGGCTGTGCAACCACACTTAATCTTTGGGATGATTCAAGATACATTATGCATATTCTGTTGTCTACAATGCTTTTTCAATCCATTTTCTGCAACAAATTGTTCTTATTTCATTCTAAAAACCCTGGATCAATGACTGTTTAAAGTAGCATGATCTCAATGCCACTTAATGAGAAATGAAAAGCTTTAAAAACTAATAAATAGAATTTAATCTTACTGGTCCAGAGTAATTTAATCTGAATTACAGTGTCTGTCTATAGTCGTCTCTAATACTGTAAATTCAGTGAGTTATCAGCATCAGCTGGCATTGCACGAGAATATTATCAGTTCTTTTTGTCAATAAAATTTTTGTGCTGTGGTTTTTTACGTACCAACGCCAAAGACCGGATTGGCAGAAAAAACTGGAAAAACATATAAAAAAACTGGATAAAATCATTAACAATGTCCAGCAAGGCGGCACCTGCAGCTGGGATAATCTTCCTAGGAAAGGGTGTGATTATATTCTCATGTTATCAGTAATGCCTGGAGATACATTCTTTCTGCTGGAAAAAGCTGAATCCACTCAGCACAAGATGTTACCAAACAACTGACTAAAGAATAGCAGCTATGGTACCAGTCTGACACACAGCTAAAGCTAAAGATCAGCTGTGGCCCTTTACTGCACTGACCCCGGAGGTCAGAGGTTAGAGGTCAGCTCTCACACCTTCTTTATTGACGGTCAGGGGTATACTGTGCACCGTCTGCAGCTTCACGCATGAGTTGGTCAGCATCTGAAGCTCCACTGAGGTCAGGGAAAAGCTCTTAACGCCTGCGGGGGGAGACAGAAGATGAAACAAGAGTGTGTTTAGTTACAGAGTTTAGTTACAACTGATTATGGCCACACCATGGGGGGAGGGGGACTCACTCTTCTTCTGCTGCTCTCGGATCAGCTCTCTCCACTCTGCCCTCTCATAGTCTGAGGAGGTCAGGAACATGTAACCCTGCAAGGCAGGAACACACGGATGAAGGTGGCTTTCGGAATCATCACATTTATATTTCAGGCTACATACATTTCTTGAGAGAGCAATCAGCCAGTCCCAGGCACAACTGGGGTTTAAGGGCTTTGCTCAGGGGACCAACGGTAAAATTGCTATGGGATTTAAACCAACGACCTGCTGATTACAAGCACAGCATCCTAACCCACTGAGAGACACGGCAGCCCTTAGGGGCCGTCACCTGAGAAATGACACACAAACCAGGCGTGGAGAGATGGCCTCATAAGTGGGTGCTGAGATCCTTTAACCACCCATTACCCAGTTATGGAAACTGGTGTTCCAGGGTCAACCCTAAGTAAACAAAACTGAGGTCCCCAGAATGGACCGGCAGTCAATTAGCCAACAGACACACACTATAAAGGCAGTTCAATGCCAACAACTCAGTTATAGTGAATGTCTTGGGATCACAAGGGGAAAAATCTAGAGCAGTATTTCCCAATCTGGTCCTCAGGGAGCCTCAGACAGTCTATGTTTTTCCCCGGTTGGAAGCTTGGAGGGAGTGAAAATGTGGACTGTCTGGCAAGGAGCTGAGAGGGTGCAAAAGCACGAACGGTCTGTGGGTCCCCCAGGACTGGGTCGGGAAACAATACCCTAGGAGAAACCAATAAACAGAGAGCTGGGGCCACTGTTCGTGAGAGTCCAGTCACCACTGCTGCCCCCTGTGCTACGTGAGGCCTAATCCTCTGCAGCAATGGTCATGTGACTGCAGCCATAATCATGTGACTGCAGCTGGTCATGGAGGAAACTTAGCCCTGGCTACTGCAGTTACCTCACACTCAAGCCGCAGCAAACAGCAGACATGGATGCTGGACTTGTCATGGAACAGAAACTGCCACACTTTTTTGAGGCTGTTTTTTCTCCCTTACAGGCAGGTCAGGAGAAGTTACAGCCAATTTATCTAAATCAGGTATAAGTGGATACAATTTTAAAAGGATTATGCTTCTCAGGCTCATATTGAGTTTGGGTTAAGCCTGAGTATTCAGGCATGATCATAACCGAGATCAGAAATGCAAAAGCATCACCTGCAGCATTATCACTTATACAACAGAAAGGCCTTTTTTTGCCCCTGAGTCTAATGAATGAAGATAACCCAGCCGGTGAGCACCTGCACCTAAAGCGGAATCAGCTTCCAGAAAGTATCGCCAAATAACAGGGCTAGGAAGACTCTACACTGAATGAAAGTCACCTCCAACAGATAAAACAGCCTGTAGCTTGAGAGTATCAACAAAGCTGGTGGTTGTCCTTCATTTTAAGGGCAGGGTGAAGAGGACATTATTATTTAACATCCAAACATTGCAGCAGACAGGGCCTCCCCTTCCTGAACCACTTGAAATGGACTTATAATGCGCCACCTGCAGTACCAGAGATGGCCTGGTGATGGCAGCTCACCTTGCCATTGCGGTTGTGCACCCTGAAGGCCATGCAGGGCGACATAAGCAGCAGCAGAGACTCTTGCTCACAAAGCTTCTTCCTCAGCCGATCCACCACCTTTCCACCTTTGTTGGCTTTCTGGGGGGGGGGGGATGCAATGAAGCAATACAGGCATGAATGCATGAATTTGCAGAAGTGTCCATATTGAGCTGTAAACGTCCGCAGGACACACCTTCTCCCTCTGGATCTCGTTTTTGATCTGTGAAATCTTAATCTTCATGGCCTCGATCTCCTCATCCGGGACCTGTGGGATGGGCGAGGACTCGGACTCCTCTACGGTCTGGAAGGTGAGGTCTGCCAGCGGGATGTACCACTTACAGTCATACTGCTGGCCCTTCCTGCAGAGAGAAAGGGGGAGGCACACACTGGTCACCCGCAAAGTGACGACACGCACACAGAACCTGTCACTGAACCTACTGAGGTCAGCGAGTCAGGACACTGCTCCAGCTGATGGGGTTCTCAAAAGGGGGGCAAAAAAGCTTCATAACCTCCCTGGGAAACCAGGATAACATTCAAGACCCCCTCCCCCCAATGTCACACCTTAGGCAAGTAGCTAACAGGGACCCATGCCCTCAGACACATTTATTCTGCTGCAAAGGGGCATGGTCATGAGAAATGGGGGTGTAACTGTGGTAGGTGGGGGAGTGGCTGGAGTATGTAGGGGTGTGGTTGGAGAAGGTGGCCAAGAAAATGGGGCGTGGCTAAGAAAGTGGGGGCATAGTTAAGACTTTGGGGGTGTAGCTAAGATGACGAGGTGTGGCTAGGAATTTGGGTAAGAAGGTGGGAGGGTGACTGAGGGTGGGCGTGGTTTGGAAAGTGGGGTCGTGGCTAAGGAAGGTAAAAGGTGTCCCTCGGAGATGGGGGTGTGGCTTGGGGAAAGAGGCCCGCCCACTCACCCCCCGGTCTGCTTTTTCAGCTTCGCACACAGCAGCAGGTCGGTGAACAGGAACATGTGTCGTAGCTTACGGGTTCCTTCCACCAGCTCCACCATGAAGCTGTCCTTCAGCAGCTGCCGGTTCTACAGGAGGGGGATAATTCGGGGCACCTGATTGGTCAAACAGTCAATCAATCAATCATTCAGCCATTCAGAGACAAAGCTGGCTCAGACTCTACAGAAAGACTTTGGTCATAATCCTGATAAATGTTAATGTTAATTAAATAATAATATTATAATTTTATAATGTTATACACACATAATATGCATAAATATGTATGAATATTATACATACAGAATACTGCTACTACTAGCTGTTGTACCAAATACTGCCAAGAGGTGTCACTCTTGTACATCTGTCCATATTCCTACCACTAGTACCAGGTTGTGATGACGCTAGAACCTGTTCCAGGAAATGCAGGGATCAAGGCAGGAGACACTATGGATGGGGTTACATTATACTACCTACACTTAGCTGAAGGTTTTCCCAAATGATTTTATGGAAAAAAAAGAAAAAAAAAAATCCTATCCCGTTAAATGATATATTGTATTTTTCTTGTTGTAATGCCAGTTAGTTTATGAGAGTGAAGATTAGCAAGAGGATCAGTCAGAGGTAGAGTGGAAATGTTCTGGCCTGTCGAGACTAAATCTGACTTCACTTCACAATGATGGTGAGCTTATCTTGACCGCATGAGCAGCCAGAGAGCGATTTAAAAGGCAGCCATAGTCTGCCCTTCAGAGACCCCACCAGCTTGGGAATGACATCACGCTGAGCTCACCCTGCCGGAGCCTCCCGTGTTTATCCGGACCGTCCCGCCACCGGCTGTTACGGCGGGAACCAGCTGGTGACGTCACGCCACCTTCTATGGCGGCCGACCGGGTTAAGTGCCTTTTCATTAAAGCTCTTCATATCTGACCGCGGTGCTTCTGGGATTCTGTCTAAGCTTTGCAGGTCTCATTGTGGTAAAACATTCCACACTACTAATAAAGCTTCAGAAATCCCGATGATCACAGCGTAGATCGGTTGCTCTGGGGATAATCTGCCACACCCTCGAAACAAGCCGGAATATTCCGTCTCGGGATCCGTGGCTCCCTAGGGGCAGAAAGCTGCGGCCCGACTGGTTCCACGGTTTTGTTCGTGCCTCTCAGCTGCGGGCCCTCGTCTCCCTGCTCCGCAGGTCCACACGTGACCTTCCATGTGGGGTCGGGGACGAGTGAGGCCATTTCTGACTTCCTGTGGTGGCCAGGCACAGAAGTGTTTGGGGCGAGGCTTTAATGACCGAACACTCACACGCACACACACTTACACAGCGACACACCGGATCTCGGGGACATTTCCATCCATCCCGGCACCAAACTGCTTTTGGGAAAACAAGCAGAAGCTCAAAATAAGGGTCACACTCCAATTTTAGAGTGTCGCATTCGAGACGCCGTCGGAAACAGGAAGCTGCAGAGTGTCCAGAGGTCACATGTGCTGTCTCAGGGCGTCAGCTGACATCCCATCCCATGGGACTGGGTGTGCGTGTGTGTGTGTGCGTGTGTGTGGTGTGTGTGTGTGGGGGTATATACTGTATATATTGTGGGGACCAAATGTCCCCAAAATGTGATAAAACCTGTTATTTTGATGTTGTGGGGCCCATTTTTTCACACTTTAATCCTCTTCCATTAAATACAGATGCAGTGTGAAAACTTGTTTGTGAACACAGATGTGCAACAGGAGCAGAAGCATGACTGGGATTAATGCTGTGACCTGTAGTTATATATGGACACGGTATAAGGATCCATAAAAATGCAGACGATCCTCAGGTCGTTGCTTCAATTCCAGCTCGAAGGAGCAAGGATTTCGGGGGCAGCCTGCGGCCCGTGATCAGCAGGGGGTGCCAATTCAAACCCCGGAATCAGCAGAGCGATTTGAGCGTTGGGCCCTTCAGCAAGACCCAAACCCCGTTTACTTCAGGGACTTACTGTCCCCAAGCTGATCAGAACTGTCTGACGCCAGTAACAGCATTACGGGCAAGACCAGTGAATGCTAATGAGCTCTTAAGGCACATAGCCGGCCTCCTGCAGAGGAGAGGAAGGAGAAAGTGCAACAGCAGGGCTGAGCGACTTCCCAAAACCCCACTGCTAGCTGAGCGCGTTTCAGAAAGCGCCCTTTGTGAGCCCCAAGCGGGGCGTCCTTTTGCCCCCCCTGTGATGTTTGTTATGATGAGGAACAGCGTCGTTTGTTTAACGCCTGTGGTGTCCATTCATAAAATCCTTCACAACAGTTTCCGGGGTAGCTTTCAGTAAACACACTGTCGGGGGCGAAGGTCAACATCCGGTCGGAAAGGAAGGGAGTTGTGTGTGTGTGTGTGTGTGTGTGTGTGTGTGTGTGTGTTAGGGGGCGGCGGTGCTTGGGAGGGTCATTTCCAGGAACCTTAACCTGGAGGGGCAGCGGGACAGCCCTCGCTGGGAAACAGGATATTTGTCCTGTACTGGAACTGTACTGTACTGAGGCTGTTTATTATTTTTCTACTGCATTATAAGCCCTGTGATTCGCCTCAATGCAGGAACACGACTCGAGACAAGGTTGACTCAGCGCTGACTCACATGGGAAGGGAGGGGGGGGCATTAGGACTGCTTTCCTAGACGTAGTTCCATCTTCAATGCAAGAAAAATTGTGTATCAGAAACAGACGCAGTAACGCAAGCGCTCCTTTGTCCCTCGTTAACCACCAGGGGGCTCAAGCCAGCAAAACGGTTTCAGTATATGTTCTGTTCCTGTCCCGTCTGTGTCCTTTTTACCATCTTGCTGCATACAGAGAGTTACAGAGAGTCAGACTCCACAGTCCCGCAAACATAAGCTCAAATCTGCCAGCAGCCCCCGCTCTCCCCCAACAATCAGCCTTTCCCTGGACAAAATTACCGCAGTGCAGAGGATACTGTGACACACCCCCTGAGGACTTGGGGACAACTTTAACTATACATGAATAACAAGCAGTGCATGCAAGAGCATCACGTGACCAGATTCTTGAAAACCAGGAGGGCACACTCAAACGCAGGGTTCACACCAATGAGAGCAGGCCGTTGTGCAAGTGTGTGATCAGGCACGATGGCGCCGTCGGAGTCACACACGTAAAACCGCATCGATCTCCTGTGCATCTTGTTCGTCTGCCATCAGAAAGATGCACGCTGGCAGGACCTCAGCTGCTAGGCTTTCGGCAATTTTAGGGAAGTTTCCAGGCTCCGATTCACAGAAGGCCACAGCTCTGTGTTACATGACGAGGTTCCAGCCCGGGAGACAGCGAGTCCAGATAACACACTGCTTCGATTTCCATAATTCCTCTTTCATGTCCCCACAATCAATATTTGATGAGCAGCTAGAACGACTATGGACGACTGGGGAAGCTGAGGCGGTGTCCAAATAAGATTCAAAAATAATGACCATGCCCCCCCCCGTCCCTCCCACAGGGGATTCCCCCACACCTGAAGGATGGCGTCCTACTCCTGCCTGTCGCCAGCATGAATAATGAATGGCTGCGGCAGGGAGAAGCTGGCTGGGCTCATTACAGTAAATTAAGGCTGAGGAGCGCGTCTTTATCTCGGAGTACCGTCTGCTGCAAGCTAATGCCACCCCCACTGCCCCCCTGGTGGGAGCTTCCCAGTGTGACCTGGACCTGTCAACCAATCAGAGCGAGCGACCGCGTGACACCAGAGGCAGCCGCCAGGCGTGTGGCACATCCAGGGAAACTGGAGCCAACCGCGTGGCTCTGGACGCTTCCGGAACTAGACTTGGGAAGGTCTCCACATTGCCCTCCCCGGGGGCGCTCGATCACAGAGTCTGTTCCTGGCAGAGAGGGAGCTCTGCGTCTCCAAAGCAACGGATCCTTTCAGCCTGTGCTTCAGAGCAATCGGAACACAATCCTTTAAGAGCGGAACACAAAGTCCTTCCAGCTCTTTATTCTCCAATGCTCGCTTTGTGGCTTAGAGACGTCTTGAAATTGCAAGATACGGATGGTGTGGGCGAAAGGAATGGAGCCAGCCAAAGACAAATGGAGCAGTATATGCCAGAGCGGTGGACCTTCCCTTAGACAGCCTGACAGCAGTGGCTGAATGCATTAAAGTGACCAGGAAGATATTGAATCATCTCGTGACAAGGCTGACATTACAGTAACAAAAATGCTGAAATCAGAAAAACCTCTAGGTCTGTAGACCACAACTAAGCAGATCATTGACTCCATGAGGGACCATGACTTTGGCAGCCGAAGGCCTGTGACGGTGGCCTTACCTCGCCCTTCTTGACGGTCATGGACTGGCGCCGGGGCGTGATCTCCTCATTGATGCTAGACAGGAAGTTCTGAGAGATGCGTAGGGCATCCTGAAGCAGCGGGTGGTCAGGGTGGCTGGAGGGCGTGTGCTTTAGAAGGTCCTGCACAGAGAAGCCACATAAAAGACAACCTCAAACTCAAAACTGTAAATCGAAGAGCTTTATTATAACTGATCACCTAGTTGGTTAGGGGATTCAGCTTTTACACAAAACCACTTTAAACATTAAAGATTAAAGATATTTACTCAGCTACTGTACATAATGTGAAGCAGGTTAGGTGCCCTATAGCTATTTAATCCCGCCCAGCCCAGTTGTAACCTCTGTGCTAATTGCTGCTCAAAACTTCTGAAAGGTTCTGAGATGTTTCTGAATACATTCTAGTCATGTTGCCTGCGGTGCACTGTGATGTTCCTCTGATGAAACTTCAGGAGCTACAAAGGCTGTGATGAATAATGGCCCTAATTTGGGCACGAGGCTTGAATCATTGTTCACGTCTACTCACATGAAGCACCAGGGTACTCCGAGTCACTCTGTCCACTGGTTTATACAGGAGAGCTAAGGCAAAATGTGAAAGTCAGCATCAGCCCCTAGAACCAAAACTTGGGGCAAGACCAGTATCATTCTGTTGCAAAAGGTCAATGTCTAGCAGAAGGTCACCTACCCTCCAACGAGTTTTTCACCATCTGGTCTTTGCAATCCTTGCCACTCCGGATCTTGAGGTTCTGATGGACCAGAAGGAGAAAGAAAAGCAGTTCTTAAGATGCTGTTACCAAAACAAGAACCAGTGTCTTCACTCGATCATTCATTAATAATCAACCATGGAGCCAAGTCCCAAAGAGAACTCTATAGCAGTGTTTCCTAATCCGGTCTTTGGGATCCTCAGACGGCACACGTTTTTGCTCCTTCCGAGCTCCCAGCCAGACAGTCCACATGTTTTTTTGCTCCCAGTAGGGCGTGAACTGTCTGGGGGTCTCTGACGACTGGATTTGGAAACACTGCTCTAGAGGCTCAACACTTCACCAAAAACACATTCTTATTAACCTACACTCATATATATGTTTATGTGATATCTCATAAAGACCGTAGAAGTGAAAAATTCCAGACTAGTTCAGCATTTTTTAACTGGAGCATGGGAACTACTTGTTTGTACACATGACCAACATATCAGCACATAGAAGGGCAGGAGAGGGATGATAAACTATCGTGGCTTTCTAATTGGTTCCTGTCTTCCTATTTGTCTGCTGGTCTTACATCAGAAACACCAGGAGGAATACCAGCAGCGATCTGACATTATCTTATCGGGCTGAAGCCCTGACTTTCCCCACAAGTCCCTGTCTAGATTCCTACTGGAGCATGTTCAGTGTTTTCAAATAAGAAACAGGTCAACAGTGTCACAGTGTGGGCAGAGACTAATCGGATCACATCCCTGCATGCAGAGAAAACAATATGGACAAATGGAGATCTGGGCTTTTCTCCCTTTGGCCTGAGGTCCACTTTTCATTGCCGTTCTGGTCAAAGGTCGAAGCAGCGCTCTGTAGACCTTGGAGAGGCGTTAGTTCTCTACAGCGTCAGATGGGCCCTCCCTAGTGGGAGGGGGCATCAGCTTTTCTCCACATGGATAGCTGAGCTCCGGTGAGCTCTCAGGTTCCCACATTCCTGCACCTCGTCGTCAGCAACTTTCAATGCTCCTGGCTCTTTCTCAGATCAGAATGCCGATTCTCTCGTCTCCTAGTTACCACAAACTCCTCCGCAGGGCTTAATACAAGACACACGAATTGGGGCGGGCAGGTCCAAGATCCACTCCACTGAACAATGTTCCATAAAGCGTCCTGTAAACAGCAATTCACTGCTTCTCACCAGTGAAACTGGACCAGCCAAATGCACAGATGGCCTCAAGGGAAGATCCAATTAAAAATGTGTTCCCAGTCTCTTCGAGGAAGCTGCTGGTACCTCTAATATGATTCCAACTGCAGCTGAAGGCATGAAAGTGCCCCCCACCCCATCTTTGGTTGAAAAGGTTTAAAAGGTGAACCCAGTTCCTGCTCAGTGCATGTAACCTAGAGTATCAAGGGTTACTGGGGAGTTCCAACAGAGTGTTTATGCACAGGAAGGACTTAACTGTCCCTCCGTTAGACTTAACCCTGTAGGGAGGGTAAGGATAAACTTTGACCCTACGGATAATACTGCTGGGGAGGGGGGTGCCATCCTACCTCTGAGATTTCAGCAAACTGCGTGTTCGCCTGGCAGCACTTCTCGGCTGTCTCCACAGCAACCTCATAGTTGTCCACAAAGGCACGGTAGAGTCCGAGCTGGCTGGCCTGCAGGGAGGGAAAGAGGAGCTGTGATTGGGCAGCGAGGGAGAGGTGAGCTGCGATTGGGCAGCGAGAGACAGGGGAGCCTGATTGGGCTGCATAACAGAGCAGCACCTCACCGTTTACCTGAGTGTGCCCAGACCTGTATGAATGACGAGCTGTGATAGCAAGAACAATGAGATAGGAAAAAAAATACAGGCTGGAGCAAAAGATAAGAACAAAAACCAGCAATTGGCAACAAAGACACGAGGGAAGAGCCGGGCAGCGTCAATGCCCCGGGCAGCACCAACGCTCCGGGCAGCGCCATTGTCGGGGGCCGTATGATCCACTGGGGTACCCAAGGAATGAACTAAATCCGGCCTCCTGTACTTGGATAGTAAAATTTACTCACTTGGATTAATCGCTGCTGATCTGACACAACAGATACTTTAATGGTAGGAAAGATAAGAGGGGAGGCAGTGCTGCAACAATCGTGCATGGCACTCAGACGCAGCACCGTTTACACCCCCTCTAAGGCCGAGGGCCCGCTTACGTCATGGCCGCTCAGTCCCAGGGTTCCATAGAACCCAAACCCCAGGGAAAGAGGGGCAGGACCTCCAAGTCCAGCAGAGACACGCACACAGCCCCGCTGAGTTATAGATGTTTCAGAATCACAAATAATACACAAAGAAAGCAGTGGAGAACAGCTGGTACCGAGCGGGGGGGTGGTCACCGGGCAACAGGGGCTGGTCAGGGAGGAGGCGGAGAGGAGAAATACATCTCGCATCAATCCGCGATGGACCATCGCAGTTCACAGAGATGACTGCTCAGTGACTAATATGTAAACATGGGCAATAGCCAATGATAAACTGAAGGGCAAATTTCCACAGAGTATATCTGTGAAAATTTCTGTGGAATTTGTGCGCAATTACATTTGGACAGAGTTTTGGGTCCCAATTCTGCCTTTAGGTGATTGACGGTCTCATCTCGTTTCATTTCATCTCACGCACAAAAAATAGAGTATGTCTTGGAAATTTGCTCTTCAGTCATGCACTTAATGCCATATTACTGTTTACCGTCTGTCTCTTGATAATTAATTTCTATAATAGTCTGACTACCTCAGATATTTACTTTTACATACACAGTCAAACCTTGGATTGTGAGTAACTTGTTTTGCGAGTGTCTTGCAAGACAAGCAAAAATTTTTAATAAATTTTAACCGGATAAACAAGTGAGGTCTTGCAATACGAGTATTATGTATACGTTTTGTCTGCCGAGTATCACGTGATCACAACTGAGCCAGTGGTTTTTCTCTTCTCTTCTCTCTCTCACTGCGGAATTGTGGGTAATCGTCTCCCATGCTCGGTCTCAGTCAGTGTGCCTCACTCGTATAATCAAAATTTAGTAGAAAAGCACCACCCGAATAAGGCCGTAGCAGTTCGAGCGATAAATCTAACGACAATGCAATGTCCACATTTCCGCGAAATCGGAAAGGAGGCAAAAGCGGCTGTCATTGGATTGGTTCCTTGTTAAAGTCGCATAAAAAGAAAAAGAATCCAGTGAGCCAACAGACAGCAGTGATTCCATTAATTATAGTGAAAGTCGTCCTACAAAATAACCCTCATCTTCTCCTCTCTCTCGTCTCCCTCACACCATCCACCATTCTTTTCAAAGGTAAAGTGCAGGTTAATTTGATTGATGTATTTTTACTTTACATTTTGTATTAATCATTTTTATATGAATATTTTTGGGTTGTGGAACGAATCATCTGTTTCCATTACTTCTAATGGGAAAATTTGCTTTGATATACGAGTGCTTTGGATTATGAGCACGTTTCTGAAACGAATTATGCTCGCAATCCAAGGTTTTACTGTACAATGCTCTTACACCCTACATGGCCACAACCCTCTGCGATAGTCCAAAACTGCGTACGCTCAAGTCCCGTATATAAAAGTGCCTATTTATTTTGCATATACACCTATTCCTAACCTGTCCTATACTTTAAATCATGCCTAGGTTACAGAGCTGTATATATATATATAATGTACATTCTATGTAAAAACTACAGCAGTTTTAATGTATTGTTTAGGGAAAATTAATTTAAAAAAAAACACTGTACATGCACAGCACAGTACTTTGTAATATTTTTTAACAGTAATTGTTCAAAAAGTGCGTAAGATGCAGGCTGACTGTAGTTGACTTCTTTTCTAAACTGTTTTCATCTTATATATATTGTTTGCTTCATGTTTGATTGCATCTGCTTTGGAAGTCATTTTAACATCATTGACAGTCATCCTTTGGATCAACACAATTAGCAGCTCAGGTTCAGGTAGTCCAATAGGGGTACCACCAAGCTCTCCTGTTCCTCAGATTCTGCTAACTGACTGACTTCTGCTCAGACCAAGCCAAGGGAGGAAGAATAAGAGCAGCAGTCCGAGGAGGAAGAGTAAGAGGCAGAATTCTGGGGAGGAAGAGTAAGAGGCAGCTCTCCGGTGAGGAAGAGGAAGAGGCAGAGCTCCGGGAAGGAAGAGTAAGAGGCAAAGCAGCGGGAGGATGAAGAGAAAGAGGCAGTTGGGAGGAAGAGTAAGAGGCAGAGCTCCGGGGGGGGAAGAGTAAGAGGCAATTGGGAAGAAAAGTAAGAGGCAGTTGGGAGAGAGAGTAAGAGGCAGAGCTCTGGTGACCTTTTGGGTGCGGCTGTGCCTACGTGATTTACCACCACGTTATCTCACAAGCAGAGCAGGCACCGGGAGATTAGAGCACCCACATGAGCCACACGCACACACACGCCAGCCCTCCCACGTGAACATGGGCACCGCTTATCACCATCCATCCTGCACTGACACGTCTTGACAGCAATGTCATAATATGCCCCAGATTTCCAAAACAAACAGGGCCATGCCGGGCCCTTGGAAGCCGACCGAGATGGGACACGCTTCGCGAAATGCGGCACACATATCGGGGGGACGGGGATAACAGCCACTACAAAAAAATAAAAATAATTAATAAGAACACCCAGCACATGGGATAACGGCAAGCTTACAAGCATAGATCTGGTGACGTGTAAATCTGCATGGCACCAAAGCTGCACAAGTCCATGGAAATCTGGCGCTTAACACTGACGCCAACCTCAGAGATTTAGAATAAGCTAGAATCTCACAATAAATTCAATAAAATAACCAGCGTGAAGAGGCTCGTGGGGATTCAGCCGACAGCAGCCCCAAAGCTCAGGCTCGACTATGAATGCTTAATTTATCTATCAGATGCTTTTATCCAAAGGGCCCAATGGCGCAATTACTCTGCTGATCCTGAGATTTGAACCAGTGACTTCCTGATCACAGCCACTGCGCATCCTACCTCTCCGAGCCACACGCTGCCACCTAAAAAAGGAGGCAGCCAGGGGTCACATGGGGAGTCATTTCCAGCACTGGTCCAACTGTCACCGAGTAGCCAGTGTCCCTGAAGCAATCAGTGACAGTAATCCCAGAGAGGTGTCCGCCGGCAAAAGGCCGACTGACCTCATAATGTCACTCCGTGCCCATAACGGAGCTACTTTGTCACCACTTTCTTGGAAACCATTCCTTTATGGTATTGTCTTTATTGCTGCAGTGAGAACTGAATTCCAGTATACAGGAAATACGTCACAAAAACCGGTCAATCAGAACTGAGGAAACAGGAATAAAATCTGAAGCTGATCATGCTTTAAATATTGACCGCAGAGTGAAAGCGATGCCACACACTCCATCAGCTCAGTCTCTCGCCGTTTGTGATACACACCAAGCTACATTAATTTACCGCATTTCACACAAGTTGGGATCAGATTTAAAACTGGGTCTGCATGTGCTAGTGGCGATACACCTGGCAGGATGGCGAGGACTTGGGATGAACATAAAGCTGAGTTGAGTTGTATAAAAGGAGGGCTTGAAAGAGTAAGGGCACAGGACCATTCAGGAACGTGGTAACTAGATAATACAGGGGATTCCAGGATAAGAAAGACCCTGCGGTTAATGCACATGATCAGCATCATTTCTGCTGGAGCCAGCGAAGCATGTTTGCCAAGAGTTAACATGACGGAGACCCATGGTCTACACCGAACAGGCCCACACACAAGAAGAGCGTGAAAGCGGCATATCAAAGGGGCTCACCAGCTTCTGGAAGAGGTCTCCCACACACTGATGGTGACTCCACTGCTGAACCCGGGGCAGCAGGCCATCATAGAATTCCCTGTGGATCTCATAGAGCTCAGGCACTTTGAAGAAGATGGTCTCGATCTGCGGGACGGTGAGAACGGGCTGGGAGGTGGTGGCGGCTGCCTTCAGGGGCTTCATCGGCTGGGGGGGGGGGGGGGGTTGATGTGTTAGGCATGGCATCTGTGGCATGTGTGCTGCATCGCTGCGCGTAATGTATCTTAAAGGAGGCAAATTCGGGAAAAGAAAGCAATATATTGCAAATGTTCCTACAAAACAAAAATGTCAAAACTCCTTTCCACCTATTTTTGAAAGTTGCTTCAATGGATGTTATTATCTGCATCAAAATGAGAGCCAGTCCCCATAAAGACCTGAACAAGTATGCTTGCATGCATTTTTGTGTGTGTTTCTGCGTGCTTGTAGGCTAATGTTTATATGATAACTGAGGTCCAGCTGACTCAAGCCAACTCTACTCACAAGAAGCAGTATATTGTGGGTAAGAGACAGTTGCCACATTTACAAACCATCAAGCAAAGTATTCATTTCTACAAAACATGCTAATAGTCTGGCACTGAGACATGCAGGACCAATCAAATCAAATCTAAATAAATATGCATCAGGACTCGTGAGAAACCATGGGAACCTCTGACAAGGAGAAGTGGTAAAGAAGCTACTATATAACAGACAACAGCAGTGGGAGAAAAAACAGCTTAATCTGCAATCACGTGCTTCAGGCAGATAGGAGACGTTCAGGCTAGATGTGTTTAGGTAACTGCAGATGCTGCCCTTTGTCTTCTCTCCTGTGGGACAAGGTGGCAAATTTCTACAGACTCTGGTGATCCTGAGCCTCAGATCCCATGACAGATTGATAATCACACATCATTGTGATGCCTGTTAAAATGTCTCTGCTGCTGTGGCAGTAATGTTTCCATTTCCATTTGGAGAGCGTTCAGGAGTTGTGTTTACAGTGGTCACAGGTCACGTGACCCAGTCATATCCACACCAGTCCGGCTTTTCTCACCAGCAGCAGCGCCTCCAAGTGGCTGAGGTATGTCTCCTCACTGGCCAGGATGCCGGAGAGTACCCACTTGCGCATCTCCAGGCCCTTCTCCATGTCCAGTTCAGTCTGTGGATAAGGAGAAGTGAAGGCCTCATCAACCAGGCTCAAAACTACGACTACATCTCTAGAGTGAGATCTGTAATAAACAAAAGGATCTGTCATGCTTGACTTCATAGTTAACAGATTAAGTGGGAGGTTTTTGTGCAAATTACCTTATGCCATTTATCATCCATGGAGACAATGGGGATGATACGCAGAGAGTATCGCACGTCTCCCCGGACTCATGAGTACCGACTATCATGGGTACAGGGGGCATACACTGGGGCGAGGCCACTTGGGCATTGGCCTTGGCTGTAATCTGATTGGCCCCCAGAGCACCCCTCCCCTTGAATATTGACAACTGACAACAAGGTTGGCCCCTCTGCATGACTCATAACCCTTCTTTTGCCCCGAAACTTAAAAAAAAATCCAGGATTTGCCTCTGGGTCAACAACCACAATATCCAGTAAAGATGTTAGATTTAGGAAGGTAAGCATAACAGATTCATAGTTTCCCAGGCTGAAGGCGCAGATCAATCTCTGAAGACACAATGGTGTGACTGTTCTGTTCCCATCCGGTTTTGTTCCTTACAGTTACAGTCTGAACTGCTTCCTCTATCAGAATGTCTGCCAGTTCATCCAGCTCCTCGGGTGGAAATTCACACCCACAGGCTACAGAGACGTAAGACGGGTGCGCCATGTCATTAACGGGGGTGAGGGTGTTGAGTCACCTATTCAGATTGTTAACGGTTATCTATGGCTGGCGTCCACTGATTGCCAAGCAAAGTGAGGTGGCCTTTGGTCTTAAGATGGACATACCCAGGCTGGAGGGGAGGGGGCCACCAAGTAACCATGCCCAGGACCAGAATACAAAGATCATGCACGTTCAGCTGGCTTCATTTCTTGGCAAATAAACACAGCCCGGTCTCTGTCATTAAAGACTGAAATCCCTTAAACAGACTGTCAGCCTTGGGGTCGGCAGCTGCTGGACCCGGGCCAGACAGGGTTGAGCTGAGGAGAGGAAAGGGCAGGCCGTGTAGGAGCAGCACGGCCCAGTGGCGTGCCTTCGAATTCATCACCACCTGCTATTGAAATACTCGCAACATGCAGATACTTCTCAGCATGTCGGGAGAACCTTGCTGGCTATAATCACCGCCCCCCACCTCAAAATCCAGCCCAGAAGCTCTATTCTGCATGTTCCCCAAACCACAGAAACACCACTGGATCGCCCATCCACACAATTCCTTTTCGCCAGCAGTTAGCAATCACTGAGCAGCACCGATCACTGTCAGGTGGTGGATGTGATCCACATTTATTTACTGGACAGTCTTGTCCAAAGTGTCATACAAGTGAGCTAGATAATACATCACCAGTCACCAGTCAAGGAGCTGACTTGGGTACAAGTGCTGCTAGGTGGAGCTTCCAATGAGTGACTGGTAATTGCAAAATAACATTAGTGCAAGAGCCATACAACATATTTTAAAACCTTGCAAGAACCTACTACAAGATCTAATCAAATCAAAACACTATGTGGACTAGGTTTGTATGAAGTACAAAAATATAAGAGCCTTTTTAAGGGCCATTATTGACAAGAGGTTATAAGCACGAGACTTGGTTCCAGAAGGTCCACCCCCTCGCTCAAGAAGACCTACCCTCTCGAAGCAGGCCATACCCTGAGTGCTATCTCACCGATTTGGAAGACTCGAGGGAGCCTGAGGAAAGCGTGTCCCGGCTGCTGCGGCTCTTGGAACTGAGGCGGGGAGAGGAAGCAGGAGAGTCGTCGATGTAGGGCATCCCATCATGGTGTCGGCGCTGCTCTTCCGCCCGGTCCGCATCGTACCCGTAGGTAGGCGGAGTCCCGCTGAAAGAGGTGTCTGGGTGTCGGGGGGAAAAAAGAAGAGCAGGACAGTAGGGTCAATAAGGGGCACTCTACAAGAATTTGGGAATTTGCAGAAGTCAAGTTGGGAGAAAAAGTCCTCAAGGTCTCCCGGTTTGCCGACCATTTCTGGAGGCTCCGGACTGCACTTTCGAGGATCCAGGTGACATTGCAGCCCTCTCACCTGAGACCTACACAATCCAGACGATCACCTACCATCCAGCCTGTCCTCACCGTGACCGTTTGCTGATAGCGCTCGGCTAACAGCAGGGGGCAGTTTGCTCTTGGCCCTGGTTTTACTACACCGCCCGAAAGCTCATCTCATCCGTATGCTGGCCAGGTCTTGACAAGGCCATCACTTACTTCTCGAGCATAAATCACCTCGCTACGTGGAAGAACAGACTTCCTGAAGCCTTCCCTGCCTGTAGAAACAATCACCTGCCAAGGGCTCCCCTGCCTTTCCATTTAAAAATTGCTGTGTGTAAGGCTTTCACATTCTGCAGCCCCTCCCCCCCAGCGAATGCGGTTCGAGGAATTGGGGCTCCGCTTTTACCAAAGCCAATATAAAATCACTCCGGATGAATACCAAACCTGTATGTCCCCGATAATTACAGGCCAAACATCCCGCTCATTAGCAATCCAGCTACCGGCATGATTAAAATTTCATGTCCATAAAATGCCTCAGATGAAAGGCACAGGCGAGAAGATAAATCAGTATTTAAAAAAAAAAAAGAGGTTGAAGCATAAATGGGATTTCTTGGAGTTCCTCATTCTTCAGAGAGGCGGCTGCAGAATGACAGATTCATGGAGCTAACAGGAAAGCTTTAAAACGCTTTGACGGCACCATCCGTTCGCAATGGAACCCACTGCAGATGAGCCACTTGTGTCAGATGGAGAGGACTCTAACAGGCAGGGAGGTCAGGTTAAACTTGCACTGTCAAACTCATGGTGTTTGCATTCAAGGATTTTATTCATCACCTGCAGTGAAATACCAGGTGGTCGACTCCACCATAAAAACAGTGACAGCTTATGTTGGGGCAGCATGGTGGGGCAGAGGTTAGCACTGCTGCTTCACACTTCTAGGACCAGGATTCAAGTCTCCACCAGGGTCCCATGTGTGTGGTGTTTGCATGTTCTCCCCGTGTCATTGTGGGGTTTCCTCTGGGAACTCTGACCCTCACAGTCCAAAAAACACACTGAGGCTAACTGGAGTTACCAAATTGCCCATAGGTGTACGTGTGTGAGTGAATGGTGTGTGAGTGAATGGTGTGTGAATGTGCCCTGTGATGGGTTGGTGCCCCATCCTGAGTTGTTCCCTGCCGTACACCTATAGCCTCCGGGATAGGTTCCGGACCAACTGCGACCCTGACCAGCGGCCCTGGGCTGCCCCTGGCCACAACAGTTCCCTACCACAATTGCTAGGGGGCGCACTGCAAACACCTTCTACCTATCCACACCAGGAACCACTAATGTCTTCCTCTAGGACCCCATTACCATAAAAATTTGATTTCTCATCCCCAAGGGCCCAACAAATGAATGTTTTCAATTTAGAAGCACTAGGCAAAAACAATTCTGTCACTAATTTCACCGATTTGTGAGCCCCTGGATTTAAGCAACCCCCCCGGCCCACCACCCCCAACAGTGACTCACTGAAGATGCTTCTCCCAGTGGTCATAAAACCCTGGTCATTAAAACCGTTGCCCTAGTAACCATCCGGTTTCCACAGGGTCCCCGCCCTTCTTATTTTTAGTTTTGGGCGAGCTACTTGGGCGTCCAAACCAACAGAAACCCTGAATGGTGGGGTGACGCGTTACCCAGGAAACCTCACAGAGAGGGAGGGAGTGCCGGGTCCCGCGGCAGAGCAAAATCCAGGGTCAGCGCATCAAGATACACACCAAGGACACGAGGACAAACCCCGAAATAGCCATTACAAAAGCCACAGCAAAGATCCCACTGAGCTTATTCGTTTGGTTGAGTCTCACTCTGGCATCCCCACTGAGGCTAGACCAAGCAGAGGTGCCACATGACAGGAACCCCCAGCCATCGCACCTGGAGCGTGAGAGACCCTGAGGGCCACACGGGGGCGTAACATCGCATGGTAGCCCCACGAAAACCACCCAGCCGATAACAGCAGGCACGACTGGCATGCAGCCCAGCTCTGGGTCACCCCTCCCCCCCGGGCAGTCTCCTGCTCACCAATATCATACTTTTGATATTTAATCCATTGTGTCCATCATCCAAAAGCAAGTCCTGCTAAGGATTACAGGTTTCTATATTTAATGTTTACAACATTAAACATTAAATATAAAAACAACAAAACACCATCTTGAACTGAGTCCTGTGTTTTTTGCTGGAACAGGTTCCTGGCTGATCGCTGATCCTGTGCTCGGTTATGAAAGTCAGGCAGATGTCTATCAAAAAAACAAACAAACCCACGTAAGCCTTAACAAATCCGTAATGACAAAGCCAACAACCAAAGATAGAACATCTGCTCTATTTCACTCCCAAAATCATCACCTCCATTTAACAGCTACTACAGCAAAGAGAGCAGCTGCGTTCAGCTCGACCGGCTCCAAAAACAGGGGAGCCTCCAGCGCAGACCTATCGGCTGCGCAGCCGCATTCAGGCAGACGGGAGCAGAAGGAGGAGAGGAACGGGCAGGATTTGCGGCATCGGTGCCAGGAACTTCCACGTTTGGCCCCACTTACGGGAGGCGGCTAATCAGCGAGTGTGCCTCACTAGGATTAAACGGATTGTCGGCTGGGGCGTGAGGTGTTAGGGGCCCATGAAGGTTCTCTGTTTACACGGAAGCCACCTGCCCATTACAAGTGCCCATGGTCTTTCTGACAGTGCTGATGGTTAGCAGAAACAGGATTAGGATGCTTTCTGTAAATGATTTACCTAAAACACAAAAATCAGATCGCTAAACTGAAATTGTAAACTGACTTCCTGTCCTAATAAGTTGTAAGATAAATGTCACAGTATAAGACAGACAGACGGACAATTTTCTCCACGTGTGTTTTCACAATTAACAATTAAAATTGAGGTTACTTGCATACAGAAGAAGTGTGAGATTTGGGACCCCCCTCGACCTAAAAATTGGGTCTTTGTCAGTCGTGAGAAGTTAGGGGACCATGAGCTTATTCCACCTGATCCACTGGAACCACACGTCCCTGTCCAGAACCGGACATTGGAGCACAAGCCAGGCAGCAGCATTTCCTTTGGCCAAATGGGGACAGGATCCTGCAGGGGGTGCCGGCCCTCCCGTCCCGTGGTCCCCGGTCCAGACGCAGCAATGCGGTCCTTAGGGCGCCCTCCCGCTGGGACGGATGGGAAGCTGCAGCGCGGCATGTCGGGCCGAGGCGTGAACAGAGTGCTACTCAGCTAAATGCCACCGACCGCCATGCTAGGGCACCTCACCAGGGCCAAAACCAATTACCCAACATCCTCAGCAGCCTGCTGTTTTCCAAAGATGTAAGAAAAGGATGTATGGAGAGCCAGGATAACACAAAGGAACTTACTGTTCCCAAGGGAAATGCATCCAATTAACCGCAACCCACTTAATCCACCCATTTTTATACAAATATGGATTTAGTGTGGCCAAAAAGGACTATCAAAACGGTCCCTGACGCCATTCCAACAGTGCATGCCCAGGGTTCTAGTTAAGGGTGGGGGCAGAACTTAACTCGATGGGGGGGGGGGGGGGGGGCGGGGTCTGGGAGAGGCCGATAAATTGGATACACCAGCAGGGTCATCTGTAAAGCAGGTTTCCTTATTAAACCGGTGCACCGACAGGACCTGGAGGAGGGGGGGGGCTTTTCGAGAGAGGAGGCTGCACTCAGCATGCACCCCCCCCACAAATATCCCATTTCAAGGCTATTTACTCCACCAAAGAGGCAAGGACCCCAAGCCGCCTCTGAGCACTCTCTTATCCCTCCACACAGATATTTTAGAAGAAATCGAACCTAATTAAAATCTTGCATCTCTGACCAAACTGTCTAGACTAGAGTACTATATTCCTCTGAGAATTTACTCTTTTCTACACCCAAAGCATTGTACTGCAAACGTCTGCGTTACCAGATCCTGAAAATGCACAAGATGACACGTTACAGCGCGATATAACAAAGCCTTTTCCGCACCATGCGCTGGGATACGGACTGAAGGTGACCCCCACTGCGGGACATTAACAATGGTCTCTCGGGAGATGGCACTGTTAGGAGGGTACAGCAAAGCGGACCTCCGTGCACAACTGAAATGAAATACAACACCACGGGCTGTGCTCTCCACCAAACACGGCCAATTAGCAGCGTCTGCCGGCAACATGCGCCACTTGCCGGGATGATCTTCTGGTTTTGTGGTGTAATCATCACTGCTGATAGGTACAGAAAGAAAAGCAGCTTGGCAGAGATGGCAAGATGGAAAAAGAGCCCGCAGGACAGTTAGGGGGCTTTGCTCGGGATGGAGGAGTATGGACACATGCCACTGCAGCGGAACCAGCTTCTCTGGAACTCAAACTCCAGAGTGGTAACTCCTCAAACTCTCTTAACAAGGCCAGAAATGCTAATGATTCAATTGAGTGCCAATTCAAACAGCATAATTATTGTATTTTACTCCAAAATTTTAATTCCATGGGTACTATTTCCAGTTCTGGATTTACCAGAAGCCAAAGCAGAACATAAACACAGTACGGTCATGATGAACACCCAGAGGAAACCTATGATGGTTCCGTCTGCACTCACTGAATAAAAATAGATTAAGGAAATTCCTGAATTTCCTCATGAGTACCAGAATAGCATCACCATTATAGTCACAGTATATAAATATAATTTCCTACTAACAGGTCATTTTTGTCAGTTGGGAAAAACTATCAAGCCTATGAGTGTTTTACTGAGATAAATACCAGGTTAGTTTAATCGCAGCACACACTGTTCTGCATGTGGAGTTTTCCAGGGAAACACATTAAAAATAGCAACACGAAAGACTTGAGTCTCTGTGAGC